CACAAAAAGGAGGAAGGTTATCAATTCGTCGGAATAATTTTTTATTATTTTTTATTGTTTTTATGTATGTTACGCAAAACTTTAGACCAGGTTAACCAATTATTATAGTTCTTTTTTTAACGTAAGGTGTTTCCCCATAGGTGGTCCTATTCTAATTTGGTTTAAATCGGATCATTGTATAATGAAAAGATTAACGATAATCTTAAATTTTTATATGAGAATTGAAGTCGGTTTTGTTTTTTGCTTAAAAATTACTTATTTTTATTTTTCAATCTTTTTTGAAAGCTGCGCATACATACATACATAAGTATCCCGCATATTTTTCGATAACTTCGGCCTTTGCGATCGGGATTTTTACCCCTCAAAATTTGTTACAAATGTTTCTGGGCACGGAGGCATGATGCAAATATCGGATTTCGGCCAAGCACTATGCAGTGAATATACTTTGAGAACCTCTTTACTTTTACAACATTCTCCTTTTCCTTCCCTCATACAATCAGTAATAGTATTTGATGCAGTTTCGTCTAATAGGTATATTTGCTTCAGAAAATTTTAAAACTGCCTCCACATCAAAGCACATTCGACAGGTGAAAAAAAACAAGCTGCGTGTACTATATTTTGGAATTTATATAACTATTTGCGTAAACAAAGTTTGACATTTCAGAGTAAAATGTAAACAAAAATTACAACTAGAGACGAAATCCACGAAAAAATACAAACCACTGTATAATACTCTATTGCTGCTATCTGTTGAATATGCCTTGCTCCACACAGAATATTCAAAGAGAAATACGTGGAAACATAAAAGACATTTGACAAGCTAAATACTAGTGAAATACCGTCGGCATTTTGTTCCCAGATATTTGAACAATGATCAATAACGGCTTATTTCTACTCATACTAACAACTACTTCATACTCAAAACTATAAATTCCCAAACTATCTACATATCGTCGCCTGGGTAAAAAATTGTCGTATGTTGATTTCGGTAGGTTGTGGGAAACCGCGATTGAAGTTTGGAATACAAAAACGCGAAGATAGATTTTCTCCAAAGTCTCTGAAAATGTTACTAGTTCACGAACCTCTTAAATTATTTAATTTGTAATGTTTATTGTTAATTAGTTTTGAGTTTATGAACGATTTTCTTAAGTAAAATTTTATCGTAAGCGCCATTTGTCCACAATTTGGCAGCCACAAAATATGATCAAAATTTCTACTAAATTAACGACACTTTTTACTCAATATCTCAGAAACTAAAGGAGATATACAAAAATGGAGAACACCATTTCTAAGATATTGATTAGTTTAATATGACTGCATCACTAACTAAACTTTTACTAAATTATCGAAACATTTGTAGACAATATCTCGGAAACTAAAGGAGCTATCTAAAAACTGATAACACCAATCGAAAGACCTTATTTCAAAATATATCACTGCATCTAGAACTAAAAATCGTCAAAATGGCGCTTACGACAATCTTTTACCCAGGCGACGATAAGTGCTCCTCGATTCGAATCCCAAGCACACAGATTTAAAAATAATAATTGTTTATGGAGAAAATTGAATAAATAATAATGTCAGCCTTGAAATCCAACGCAGAATCACTATTGACAACAGGTGCTAATTTGGACTAAGTAGGCAATTGAGAAGTAAAGTCCTCTCTCGTCGTACAAAGATCACACTCTATAAGTCACTCATCATGCCTGTGCTAGTGTATGGCGCGGAGACATGGACAATGAAAACATCTGATGAAGCGGCTCTTGGAGTTTTGGAGAGAAAGATTATGCGAAAGATTTACGGACCTTTACGCTGTATGAGCTTTACAAAGATATAGACATAGTGCAGCGAATTAAAATGCAGCGGCTCCGCTAGATTGGCCATGTCGTACGAATGGACAGAAAAGCTCTTGCTCTGAAAGTTTTCAACGCGGGCCGCGATGCTGGTAACAGAGGAAGAGCACGGCCATCTCTGCGTTGGAAAGACCAGGTGGAGAATGACTTGGCTTCACTTGGCATTTCCAATTGGTGGCAGTTGGCACAGAAGAGAAATGACTGGCGTGCTTAGGCGGTTACAACGCCAATAAAGAAGAAGGTATTAAACAGGGACGTGAACCGGTTTTGAACCGAACCGGTTTTGAACCGGAAAACCGCTTTTTTCTATTAATTAACTGAACCATTAACCGAACCGAAATTTTCCACAAATGTTTGATCCGAACCGAAAACCCAACCACTTTCTATAAAGGTTTAAAGGTTCGTTTCAACCAATTTTCAATAGATAAATGTACCCACTTTTTTCTTTTTGTTAAACATGGTAATACCTACCATGTTTGTTTACCATGTGACAATATCAAATGTAAAGGCAACCCATCTCATTTGACAGACACTTGACCCTTAACCTTGCGCGTTGTTGCACTTGACACTTGACACTTAAACTTGCGCGTTATTTTCTTGTTTTTCGAACCGTTGAACCGAATCAAAACCCCGGTTCAAAGACCAAAAAAACCGCATTGATGAACCAATCCAAAAGTGCAAAAACGGTTCTAGCCACTAAACCGAACCGACCAAATTTTTCATCCGGTTCACGTCCCTGGTATTAAATGGTGTTCGTGTAGGGTGTTTAGTTTGTCAACAAATTCCATACCATTTGCGATATCATTTCGTATAAAGTTCTCTACTTACAAATGTGTTGACCCGTCATACAATACGTGCATATGTACGCCAGAGAAAAACTTTGTTCTAAGTGACACTTATAAAGTCTGAGTGTAGGCCCGAAAGGTCAACGTACTTTACATACTTCCTCCATGTCAGTGTGGAGTCGATAGTGACCCAATCTACTTCATATTGATCTATACACCAAAATTGAACACTACAGGGGTCATTAACAGACCCAGCCATTACGCCATCGTAAATATCTTGGATTTTATCCTGCCAATAGCTGAGTTCATAACCCTGGCACAATTAAGGACCGCATAATGTACCAGACTCAATCCCGACATACCCAACATATCTATGTCCGGCTTACGCATTTTTCTTGCCGCCTTAAGGTCATTCAGCTAATACTTGTTTCACTTTGGTCCGACACCGTCCAAACAGCACGTTTTGTGGGTCTACCATTAGTTGAGCTCGACGACAGTGATTAATAGACTATCCAATTAAACCCTTAGAAGTGCCGCTACAACAACAACATGTAAATTGACCGAATGCCATAGCCTAGGGATGACCAAATCTGCACATACATACATATGTATCGCGGGCGACTGAGCGTGTAAAGATGTGCACAGCTGGCTAGGCAAGCTAGGAAAACGAAGTCAGCAGAATAGTGGGATTGTATGTGTGACAAAGCACTTGTTGCAGTGATGCCAGAAGTGAGCATACTCAAACTTTTACCGATAATAACACATATGAGGGTATTGGGAATTTTGCAAGCCTATTAAAAAGAATACATATATGTGTTCGTATAGCATAGTAGCTTAAGTCGAAAGGCTGGCTTTAGTATAATGAACCATTCGCCGCATACGATTGCGAATGACTCACCGGCGCCGAGTCGTTGAAGAACTGTTGGCAAATAAACGTGAAAGAAGCAGTTCCGATGCTAGCAAGTCAATATTCTTATTAAGTCTCATTAAAAAATTCCTTGTGGTTTAAAGAATATAGGGAATGGTAAATTATACTAAAGCCAGCCTCTCGATATACTGGGACAAAAAAAAATAAACCAATTATCACAAAATGGGTATCAATCGAAATGGGTTTGAAAAGCTTTGTTTCTTAACTAACCTATACGAGGGTTTCCACCTGTTTAAGAAATCAAATTCAATTAGAATTAAGGGAATTAGGTAAGAGAAATTTGTATGTATCACCATATGAGTGCCAAACGAAAGGGGTTTCAGAAAGTAGTAGTATTTTGAACAGGGTTGCTTGAAATGTCGAATTTAATTTGCTTATACACAAGTTATATGAAATATTAAAATATGGATGTCAAACGAAGGAGTAATAAGAAATCTTTAGTTTGAACGCAAAGAATATTTTTTAGGTGTTGGACCACCTGTGTTTAAAAAGTTAAATTCAAATTATTTAATAAGTTAAATAAATTATTGAAATACGGGTACCAATCGAAGGGGGTTTGACAATTTTTTATTTCTGAACCATTTTAGCGGGGTTGCCACATGTATGAAAAGTCAAACTCCACTTAATTCATCAGTTAATTATAATATGTATCGCAATGTCCGACGAAGGAGAGTTAACAAGGATTAAGCTTTAAAATACTTTTGAAGAGGTCTAAGTAATTCCTGTTTGAAAGGTCTGATTCAATTAACTAATAGCGTTTTCTTTTCTCGAAATAATGTTGCCTATATTCTGCCCTGCTACAGAGCTGTCAAGTTTTCGTGTTCTTTTCTCAGCATCTTCACATGCATATTGCGTGCTGTTTCTTTAAAATGTTGCACTCTGATAAAGTTGCCATATAAGAAGGTGAAATTTTTTTCGAGAAAAAAACCGTCATAATACAAAAAGTATATGAAATAAATACCATAGTCAAACAAAATAATGTTAAGAAATCCTTAGTTTGAACTTTTTGAATGTTTGAAGGGGGTTGTCATGTGTTTAAAAGGTTACATTGAAATTATTCAATAAATTGGATGAATTATTAAAAAGTGGATATCGATCGCACTGGGTTTGAAAATACTTTATTTCTAACCTTTATTTAAGAAGGTGGCCATGTATTCGAACAATTTAATTGAAATTAGTTCATCAGTTTATTGAAATACATGTGTATTACAATGTCAGACGAAAGAGATTTAAGAAGATTTTAGTTTGAGAATACTTTTGAAAAGGAATTTCAAAAAATGAGAGGTCCAATTAAAGACCTTAGCCTGTAAATGTATGATATAGTTTTATTTTTTTTTAATCAAGAACTTTTTTCACCTGGTGTTTACAAATTTGATGAAATTAAAAACCTACACTATGCGAGACTTATCTTCAATCAGAAGCTGCCGAAGCCGAAGATAAAAAATCAGCCGAATAGGCCGAATACCGAACCTTAGGTCGGACACAAGAAAACACATACGCATGCATGTACAATTTTTACTAAATTAAAAAAAATTATTAAACGATAATAAAAACTTGGCGCTTTTGTTTTGAATAAAATGGGCCTTTTCTGGGGTCCTGATAAGTCAATATGTATACGTTGCCATCGCCGTACAGCTCACTTTTCTCGCCTAGCCCTTTCGCGAGCTTGCAGTTGCCCGCGACGTCGACTGCGTGCACCTCTGCTGTGCATTCCTACCATAGCCTATAGTTAAGTATACCTAACCGAAAAGACCCATTCATTAACCATAACTTTGAGGAGAATTTCTATGCTGTTACAGCAACAACAAGATAAAACCATGATAACAAGAAATTAACCGAGCCTCCTTATATAAAATTAGGATACGTAAAATTAATAAGGTCACAAATACTTGACTAGATTTACGTAAATAATTTTTTAATATCTATACACAGTATGTCATTAGGGTGGTCCTTAAAATTATTAAAAAAAGACATCCAGGAAAATTTTAAAGCTAAAAAAATTTTGGTCTGAAAAATTTTAATTTGAAAAATCGCAAAAATTCGAAAAAAATGTTGCTTTGACCAGCTATAACTCAGAGAGTTTATGAACTTATAAAAATAAGTTACAATAACACGTCCAATTTATAAGATTTCAAGTCAAAATTCTTTAAAATCTCTGCGATTTAAAAAAAAAAAATATAAAATTGTTTCAAGCTCTGATAGCGACTCCTAAAAATTTGTAGAAAAAATAAATAAATGGATGCTCCATAAAAAATTTAGATATTAATATTTTTAAGTACCATCCTTATATATGTACATACAACAACCAAATTTACTTACATTTTCGCAACACTATTCAGTGGATTGTTGGAATTGCACAGAACGCTGTATACAGAATCGACTTTGCTGAGTTTCTCAAACAGCGGTATCAGTTCAAGTAATTCGGAATCGCTTGTGTCATCAAACCATGACTTTACAGGAACCTAGAAAGGAATAAAAATAAAAAAAAAATGTTTATAAATTTTAGAAATTCGTTATAAAAATCAGTATGTTTAACTTTGCAAAAATCTACGTATTTTACTTAATTAAGTAGACTTTTTTGCATCCAGAAACTTTGAAATTTTAACTCAGTTTATGATTTTGTAATTAACACATCAAACTCACTTACCGCATTATCTGGATGAAATATATAACTCGCTGGTGAATTATCGACAATGACGATTTTTTGTAAATCACGTCCAAGACGATTTAGATCCTTAATATAATTTCCCCTGTAATAAACGCACGATTCCCTAAACAGTCTTGCACGAAACACATCCCATCTGCGGGAGCATAAAATTATTATTTTTTTTTAATAAAATTGGTTAATAATTGGTAATTCACACTCACTTGTCTAACAGATCGGCAACGGGATCTGCATATTTGGCTAGTGATGCTGTAAATAAAACACACTCGTACAATTCGCCCATTTTTCGCAGGAACTCATCGACGTAGGGCCTTTTGAGTACGTAAACTTGATGTATGGTGCCATCAATTTCCACTGGTACAATAAAATCAGCATTTGGAATCGGCTGTAAGAGAAGATGTATGTAAAACGCTTAATATTTAATGTTCAAATGAAACCGTTAAATATGTATGGGCGCCAATAAAAATAAAATGACTGCATACGCGACAAGCTATTTAAATTGCATGGCTTGCAAAAAGCTTAGTACGCTTTTAGGCGTTTATACACCTACATACATATTTTGCTTACCTTAAAACTACTGTGCACTAATGTCTCATCCAAATCGATGACCATGCATTTTTTATGCATATCCGAGTGCCTAACCTGAGGTAGTAGGTACCTTTGTTGGTCCGGTAATGGTGGCGGTGTTGTGGAACCATCGATTGATGTGCCATTTTGATTGGTTTTCGTGCGATTACGTCGCCAGCAGCATAGAAAGGATTGAAAGAAGCCGCGTTTTGGTGGTTTTAAGCGTTCGACATCGTCTGCAACATTTGAAAAATTGAATATGTACAATAAATATTACATTTGAGGTTTATTGAAATTTAATTTTAACACTTATATTTTATTTATAACGCAAATTAAGTATCTACATAGATTTCGATGGAAATAACCTTTTTTGCAGGGACCGAAATTAACCGTTAAAAATGAAGATTTTTGATTTTCGATCATTGCAAAATCGTTAACTTGGATTTTATTTTTTTTTCGACTATATTTGTTCGTATTTTGTGATTTTTATTTTTTTCGATAAAAAAATCGTTAATTAAAAAATCGTTATTTAAAAATCAAAAACTACGGTTAAATTTAATCTGAAAAACAGAAACGATTATATTATGACTTTTATTACAAAGATTATAACCGTAACAGTCCCGGTTTCCTCGCTAGCATTTTAGTGTAATTTGTTTGAACTAAGCCCCGAAAATTCGATTTCGCTGTGATATCCTTTTAACAGCTACAAGCTTAAAGTATTGCACAAATCAGCTGCCCATCAACAATGTATGTATATCGACGGCAGTATCGGATTGAAAGTTGAGCCGATTTGTTTATCGATAATTTATTTATTAAGATATCAATAAACAAATTGAGAACGCCAAAAAATGGTATTAAAAGTCGACAGCATATCGATAAATTTATCGAAAACGTTACCAATAACAATAATGATACATATTTGTAGATGAATCGATAACAGTATCGCAATAGAAGAGGAGTGAGCTTATTTATCGATGACTATTATAATAATCGGTATGGATTTATTTATCGATGACCATATCAAAACAAATAATTTAAAAGTGTCGGAGAGCAGCATTACAAATCGGTAACGGCATCAATAAATTCATCGATAAGAAATTTAGTAGATCTATTTAACAATTACTATAAAAATTACGGATAAATACATCCTACTACAAATATATTGGGATATTGACGAAAAAATATATAACGGTATCGACTATGAAAACAAATATGAATAGGAACTTGTCATGGAATCTGGAGTTTATGATTAGTGATCGTACTAAAGACTAATGGCCTTATACATAAAAACTAAAGTAGAATTGAAGAGCTCAATAAAGTCACATTTTCAGGCAAATTATCGATTTATAAAGCAGTTAAAATCTTTTTTACTCTTTATAAATTTGGGCGTAAGAATATAAACATCCATAAAAAATTCTCTTACACTGTTAAAAAAGTTGTTGAACTGGTCTACAAATAAGATGACGTTCAGAGCCTACTGCAGAAGGAGTTATTTATATATATCTTGGACTGTCTTTTCCTCTTTGTAAATCAGCATTGAGCGCCGATTTGAAAATCTTGCCACCTCTTAAAAGTTCTGCCTTTTTATTATTCTCCAAACTTCCTTGGTTCGGCATACCACACAAATAAACTCACTGAGTCAAGGCTGATTGCGCAGGATGCTAAGGCTTTTAATGGTGCCTAACTATGGCAGTATGGTATTTAAGTCTGAGGCCTCATTAGTTCTTCTACTATACCGTTCGGGCGCAGACATCAATTGCGAAGATTTCCACTTGAAACCTAGGCTCAAGTATGTATGCCTGCGAGATAAGCAGGCAGTTAAGCACGAAAAAAAATAAATGCCACATTATTAAAACTATACATCTTTTTGAATGTTGAGTTGTTTAAAAATGCGTCGGTCTTCAACTTTGTGCGTTTTATCAGCAGCTAAAAATCGTCTCTAAAATTACATTGCTTAAACTACTTTAGAACGAAAACGCTTGTATGTAAACATTTATTGGCACATTTACTAATTTTATTTAGATTAATTGCTCTTTCAAAGCACAGCTACAACTCGTTTTCGACTCCAATTTGTTTACCCTTAACGACCATTCATCTTATTTATTTGCTGACTTTAGTTTATTTTTATGTTGTAAGAATTTGTTTTTCCTGTCACACGTTTGCGTTTGCCGAACCAGCAAACTTAATTGCTTTAATTGTCAATGACCTGCTGTCTGTCTGTCGTCGATGAAGGCATTGGCCGACGACGCGCTTTCACTTTCGCTGAATTCGCGTCTTTATGCAGTAGCAGGGCTCTGGCGATGTAGGCACCATTTGTCATATGCTAATACTTTTTTATACATATACATATACATATGTATGTATTTATGTTTTAGTACGCCTCGCAAAAAACAATCGCTTGTAAATATGCGTAAGAGAATATTCCCAAAGTACATTAGTTAAAATGCCTTAAGAGTAACGTAAAATTTGTTCACTGAATTATGACTTGGGACGTGTAGACTGTGTACGAGTAGGAAAACTATGTGTCTAGAGAATTGTCCATGAGCTTATATGTAATGACCAAACATTGACTGGACTTACAGCTCTGCTCCAGCCGCTGGCGTAACAGGTGCAATGAGATTTTGTCCGAATATGGTTCTGAACAACTGCTAACAGCGTCAGCCAACTGCTTCTTGGGGCTCTGGAAAGAAAGACCGTTCGGGCATAGTTCCATCCTAAACGCATTACCGCATGCAATTAAAGCGCTGCCTACTAAATATATCCTGGCGAAGACCTGGGATAACTACAAACCCCGCATGAAATTCCCAAGCCGCAGTGATTGGACTCAGGGGTCCAGTTCTTGGAGCGCTTAACGGTCTTTACGGACGGATCAAATACGGAATGCGGGGTTGGTGCAGGGATTTTTATTGAGCAATATAACCTGAAGCAATCCTTCCGCCTACCAGACCATGCAAGCGGTTTCTGTATGAAAAGCTACACAAAACAATATTCTTGCCTTTTTGCGTCACACCGTACCGTGCCAACTCCACAGACATATTCATATGGGATTTTTAATAAAATGAACTATTTCTATAAAAAATTCACGAAAAAAATTTATTATGAAAAACATTGCAAATATTAAAAAAGAAAAAAACACTGTACGGAGACTTATTCTGGTGTTCGAGTATCCATACACTTGTTGCTGCTGCCGCCTAAGTGCTCACGCCACAACACACAAAAAATTAGGGTCAAATAGCTCAATTGACCATAGGGTAACAAACTAACACCTACAAAACTAACAACATACATATATATTTTTTAATGCTACATAAATCGTTGGCTGGCAAAAGTTTGTCTGGCTGCCACCCAATTAAGAAAAAAGTAAACGTATTCATTAGTATATTTGTAAGTATGTGCCATGTCTCTCTGCATGTAAAGACGAGTAAATGTTGCTTTCCGCTGCCTCTCCAAACTTTTGCTACTTATTCGATATTATTTTTTGGCAAGTTATTCAACCATATATTCATATGTATACATAAAAATCTTTATTTGTATACTTCATACGCCTATGTATGTAGTTACCCTTTAAGAGCTCCGGTAAAATTAATTTCCTGTTGGATAAACGACGTGAAAAAGCAAAAGCAACCAAAAACGAATATTACTGACTTGCATAAAATGAAGCAGTGAAGGCATTAAAAAAAAAACGAACTCGAAAAATTAGCAAGAATACAAGCGCTGCTATTGCCGCTGCTGGCTGACCCAATTTCGTTTGTGACCCAAGTAATTCAAACAAATGCTGCTAATAAATGTTGTTGCACATTCATGCATACTTGCATATGTATGCGTATAGATGCAAATATACCCAGTGGAAAAAGTAGTAATGCATTACATGCGTGATAAATAATGTAATGCATTTCTTATGAGTTCTACATAGATTCTATTATACATAATAAAAAAAAAAAAAAAAAAAAAAAAAATAACTTGCGAAATATATATTTTTTCGAAGTTTTGTTGATGGGAATCCCTTTCCATGCTCCTGAACTACACATCCACCATATTAAAATTGAAAATCAAAAAACTTTAATTTTTACTGATCGATTTCACGAATTCTGGCTCATGTACTGTGTAATATATAATCAGCGTTCTAATGTATTCAAAAAGTCGCAACAAATTCATATTAAATCACGTTCATTCTTGCATTACTGGTGATGCCAAATTGAATGCCACACTTTGCCTAGGACAACGCCGTGGGGAAATTAAGGCATTTTCGAATGAGAAAACGGCTGTTTTACTGATTATTTTTTAGATTACTATACATTACATTTTCCCACTGGGTAGTTTGCATTTGGATATATGTATGTATTCATACCTAGTGTATGTGTATGCATATGACTTATGAAGCCAAATTGTGGGTGAAAGAGCAACAGTTGCTCAGGTACAGGGTGTCAATCAGCGTTAGAACTTTACTACGATCGTAGTAGAGAAATTTACTACACTACTGCACTTTACCTACGATCTACTTCGGTTTTGTTTCCCAAATAATAAAGAGCACTTATTGCAGTATCTGAACTCAAAAAATCGTCTTAGGGCCGTTTTTCAAGTAGCTTTTAAATTTTTCAAATACATTTTTCGCTAAAAATACTACCACTCTCCATTTTTTAAATAGAAGAGGTCAAAGCTTCCATTGGCTTCCAATTACAATGTACGTATGTAATTTTTTAACTTTTGAAATTTCCTAAAAACGAGATTTATAAGGCCATGCAATTTTTGCACTTTTTTTGAGTTTTTGCTTTTTGATTTTTACTGGTGCTTCATTTGTTCAAGGACTCCCTGAAATTATTATATTTAAAAAAAAAAAAACTGAACTAACGTTCACCAAAAAAAAACAAGAACTTAGAATGTTATATAAGAAATATGACCAAATTTTACGTTGCTATTTTATAGATGTTAAATAGTATAGTTGCAGGACACGATTAAAGTCTATTGGTTTGCATTATTTAATTTTTTTAACTAAAAAAGGCAAATTATGACGAGCCAGTATACATAAGAAATATCTACTACGGAATTTTTTTTTCTGCTACGCTATTTCACTTCATTTACTCCGATTTAGGCTTGCCGTAGTTCTAACCCTGGTGTCAAGCTTAAGGTTTTGCAGGGTACTTTTTAGCAACTTTTTAAGATATGAACATTGCCAAAGATCTCTGCATCCTCTTCGTCAGTATATAGTTAATCTTTGATCAGTAATTGAGTCACTCAG